GAGACAGTTGAAGCCCATTTTTAGCGATTTTTGAGCACTTCCGTTCCTGACGCGCAGACTCAAACCGACTCAAACTAAGCTTGATGACGTGAGCAACCTGTCTGACAGACGTTAATCTTCTAGTAGCGGTGCCAAGAGGAATCTGAATCATTCCCTTCCGAAACTTGCAGAGCCGGAGATCGTGAGTATTAGCTATCCATGAGCTAGCAGCAGGAGCAACTTTACAACTCTCTATGGGCTTCTCCCTTGACTTTATGCCTCCACGTCCCCCAGATTGCGCGCGAGCTTCTACTTCTGTCTATACGGTAATTTTCTCTAGTGTGCGCCAGAGAGTCGCGTGTTATGACGCAATCGTTAGCCTTTATTTTTAAAAAAACGGCTTCTACGGGGCCATAACGTAAGATACAAAGTAATGGAGCCTTTTATACATTGTCGTGTTTCTTTAGAAATAAATAATGGACAAATGGAGTCTTTAAACGCCTCAGATGTAAAGTTATTCGCTGTCAAAGTGACGCCAAAATGAATGGGAGTCAATGGAAATGCTAACGCAAGTGAAGTTCTGCTACAAGATGGCGGCACCCGGCCGGCTTCAACTTCCGGTCGAAAGATTACCCCCTTGCATGTTCCTCGTCTTATTTCTTCCCGGCAGTGTAGACGCTACTTGGCGTATATCTTCTTCGCGGTTACGTATGTGTGCTCGGCAAGACCGTTTTGTGTTTGAGCGCCCCCAAGTTGTGTTTTACTGTAACTTCAGAAGTTCCAGACACGTGAGCAAAAGCGCCAATCTCATTGGTCGGATAGTTTTTGACGCGGCGCGTCAAACTAAAAAAACGAACCCGAGGCGTTTTTTAAAAAATGACGCTTTTACGCGTGGCGTTTTCCGTGTGGTGTGCACACTCACATTGGCGCCCTTTGTTTAGTCACGAGGCGTTAAACGTCGGCGAATATCGCGCGCGAAATTCGTCCCAGTGTGAACAGGCCTTTAGATTCAAAATGGCATAGATTCAAAATGCCAAATTGTAACTCAACATTGTATGGATCTATTGTGTAGAAGGCGATCCCATAATTCATTGCGATTCAGGTCAATAAAAAAATCGTTTTAAGATGGCGAACAAAATATGTTGATTATAGACATACTTTTTATTAATTCATTACCAAAAAGAATCAATAGTAGCCTACTTCAATCTATAGTTCAGTATAGTTAAAAGTAGAATATTTATCCAAAATTTAGATGACTGAGCATTTTTTGTTATCACATTCTTATAGTATTGAGCCATTATCAAAATCTAAACTTTCCATCTTCTGTGAGTTTATCCTTTCACAAGGTTTAAGTGCACAAAAGACTAAGAGGATTTCATGTCAATTTGTGTCCAATTTTTTTTGTAAACAAGCATTAAAATTAAGCTGATTGCTCTCTGTTATTTGGGGGGAAAATCCAAAGTTGTTTTTCTTTGGACATTTCCACAAAAGCGAGATTATATTCAGGAATAATGGACCTGTATTCTGAGAAAACAGGAGCTCTAATTATTCAAGTGTTATTTTTCAGAATCGTCTGCTGCTAAAATTATACCATAGCAGTCTCTTTCCGCCAGCTGGAATCCCTCTGATCCACACGAGGATATGAGGAGGAATAAGATGGTGACTTATCTTATCCTTCTGTTGCCAGACTTTTGATTATCTGTCTTCATCTGGCCAAGAACTGAAACGTCTGTCTGACCGACATGCTAACTGTGCAGTCACAGATTCTTCATGCCGTTTTAAACGCCTGGTGACTTTGCAGCGCATTGATCTGAATGTTCAGCCTCCTGAAGGATTGGGTCAGTTACATGGAAGCTGCTCTGTTTATTGATCGGACGGGAAAGTGTTTATTTTAAGCACTTGGAACGGTCAGTTCATCTCAGGATGCAGAGCATATAGAGCTGCTATATACAGCTGTCACACACACACACACACACACACACACACACACACACACACACACGTTATTGCTCTTTAATAGCTCTGGGGTAGTAAGAGTTTCGTCAGTAGTTTTTATTTTTTAAAGAAAGTGCCCCATTATGCTATTTTAAAGGTTTCTAATTTTGTTGGGTCTCCTAAAACAGGTTTGCATGCATCCAAGGTCGAAAAACGAGTGAAAAAAAAGTGAGTGTGTGAGAGAGAGTGTGTGTGTGTGTGTGTGTGTGTGTTTGTTTGAGTGTGTGTGTGTGAGAGAGAGAGAGAGAGTGTGTGTGTGTGTGTGTGCTCCGGTGTGGATTAATATGTGATGATCGTACTATTTCATCATTGTAGTCAAACAGAAGAGCATTTATATGTGAGTCTGAGTCTCTTTGCTCTACACACAGTTACACTCACACACGTGTGTTTCATACACTCATCGTCTCGCAAAGGTGCCCTTGGGTTTGTTTCCTTGAGTACGTGTGTGTGGGGGTGTGAACTTACTCACTCACTCACTCACACACACACACACGCACGCACGCACGCTCACTCACTCACACACACTCACACACACTCACGCACGCACGCTCGCTCGCTCGCTCGCTCACTCACTCACATACACACTCACTCACACACACACACACACACACACTGTTGTGTGTTTAAAAATAAATATTGCTGTTTATTACTATTGATGCATATACATAAAAATAATGAAATGCTATTTTGTGCCTTCATTTTTTTAAATATTGTATTTTAGTTCTAACATTATTGTGAATCAAATCACAAATTGCTCTTAGCTCATCCAGAGAAGATACACACACTACCGTTCAAAAGTTTGAGGTCAGTACGATGTTTTATTTCATTTCTGATTATTATCAATGTTGAAAACAGTTGTGCTGCTTCATATTTTTGCAGAAACCATACTTATTTTTCAGGATTCTGCGACGAATGAACAGTTCAAAAGAGAACTTGAAATATTTTGTAACAAAGTTTTTACCGTCACTTTAATGATCAATTTAATGCATCCTTTTTGAATAAAAGTTTTAATTTCTTTTGAAAAAAACAACAAAAACCCAAAACCCCAAACTTGACCCCAAACTTTTGAATGACTGTGTAAATATTGAGATACATTCTGAATTTAGTTTTTCTCTCCCAGTAGCATTTAAATAGTTTTAAATGGTGTGTGTGAATGTGTGAAACGCTTGTATTGTATGTTTTCTATGTCTCTTATGTAATTGCTCTGAGGGTTAGTCTTGGCTCTGCACCATCTGTTTTAATTCTGCACGCTTCTCAGTAATGAGCCGTTAAAACACCAGTGTGTCCATTAGCAGCTGGCCAGTACTAATGCCTGTTGAGCACACATGCACAAATCCACGTGCGTTATGTATTTATGCCATATTGACATGCAGGGAATCTTGACTAGAGACTGCTTTAACCCTGTTTATTAGACTAGCTGTCATTCTGATGAGACGCTAATTAAAGACTCGCTCAAGAGCTCATTATGACACTAATTTGTTTTGAGATGATTAATTGTATTTCCGCATGAAATATACCACTAAATAAAGTTTGCTATATTAAAATCATAACTCATATACTGTACATAGACATCTTCTATCAAATGCACAACTGCTTTTTCTTTAATAAATGATTTGAATTACATAAGTTCTCAGATGTTCATATTGTTGAGGAAAAGCTATGATATATATATAATGATGACATAAGGAGATGCAAATTGATCTTGACATTTACTTGTATGCCTTTTGGCAGCCGCTTTTAGTCAAAGCAATACTACTATTATAAAGTATGAGGTCATTTATTTTATTTAGAAAGGATGCATTAAATTGGTCGTTAAAGTGACAGTAAAGATATTCATATTTATCTTTTTTTTCCACAAAAATATGAAGCTACACAACTGTTTTCAACATTGATAATAATCAGAAATGTTTCATATTAGAGTGATTTCTGAAGGATCATGTGACACTGAAGACTGGAGTAATGATGCTGAATATTCAGCTTTGATCACAGGAATAAATTACAATTACAATATATTCACATCGAAAACAGTTATTTTAAATTGTAATAATATTTCACAATATTACTGTTTTTACTAAAGACTTTATTACTGTTTTTAAAGACTTACAAAAAATTGTGCCAACCCCAAACTTGTACATTTGATCCGTTCATGCATTTTGTGGTATTTGATTTGGGGAATTTAATAGAAGATTATTTATTAATCATTACTGTTGATGCATGAATCAGTTATGAATGAGTTTTTGCCTGTTTAATGTTAATGTCTTAATGTTAAGTTAAATTGCTAAATTGCTTTTTTAACATTTTATATAGATTTTTATTATTATTATTTACATATTAATATGCATTTTATTGTGTATTTTGTACATGCTTATGTATATTAATAAATCCCTGGCATTTGTCCTGTGGTAATATTGAGACCTTACCCGTCCAGCACTGGGGCTTTACACTAAGTAAAGGTACATGTCAAAGGTTGCTGTCATGTTGTGGTGAAGCTTTAAATATGAAACAAAACAAAACATTAGTTTCCTTGTTGAAGAACATGTGTCAGTGTGATGTCATGGAGAGGCCGCTGCTGTTGGCTAGATTAGTAACCATGGTAACTGGCTTGTGTTTGGACTGCACTTTCATTCCCAAGAAAAGCAGAGTAATACATTGAGGAACTGGATGAAAATACACCTGTGTCTTCCAGCGCTGTGTGGAGCTGAGCAACTGTATAGCAGTGCCTAGTGTCTCAGGAGCAAGCACTCGCAGTGTCCTTCAGAAAATCCTCAAAACTATAGTTCATTATCCACTCAGATTTGCAGTCTTAGGACAGTGTGTGTGTGTGTGTGTGTGTGTGTGTGTGTGTGTGTGTGTGTGTGTGTGGTGAGAATCTGGGGGATGAGAAGCTGGGACAAATGTGTCTGTCAGTGAGAGACGCATCCATTACGCCCTGTCACTCTGAGACACACCTCCATACTGACACACTCTCTCTCTCTCTCTCTCTCTCTCTCTCTCTCTCTCTCTCTCGCTCTCTCTCTCTCTCACAGAGGAATGATGAGGAGGCTGTTGTGGACAGAGGAGGCACTCGCTCCATGCTTAAAGCCGGATTGGAGAAGGAGGAGCTAGAAGGTAAACACGCACACACACCGCACACACACACTCTCTCTCTCTCTCTCTCTCTCTCTCTCTCTCTCTCTCTCTCTCTCTCTCTCTCTCTCTCTCTCTCTCTCTCTCTCTCTCTCTCTCTCTCTCCCTCTCTCCCTCTCTCCCTCTCTCTCTCTCTCTCTCTCTCTCTCTCTCTCTCTCTCTCTCTCTCTCCCTCTCTCTCTCTCTCTCTCTCTCTCTCTCTCTCTCTCTCTCTCTCTCCCTCTCTCCCTCTCTCTCTCACTCTCTCTCTCTCTCCCTCTCTCCCTCTCTCTCTCTCTCTCTCTCTCTCTCTCTCTCTCTCTCTCTCTCTCTCTCTCTCTCTCTCTCTCTCTCTCTCTCTCTCTCTCTCTCTCTCTCTCACACACACATACACACAGCCCTAAACAGTCGGTCACACTCATACACTCTCAAACACACACACACACACACACATAAATACTCGCATAAAGACTCGGTCACACCCACATAAACAATAAACACTCGGTCACACTCAAACACACTCTGACATACACACACACACACACACACACACACACACACACACACACACACACACACACACACATACACCCCTAAACAGTTGGTCACACTCATACACACTCACATACACACTCTCAAACACACACTCACACACACACTCTCACACACACTCTCACACACACACACACACACACACACACACACACACACACAACACACACACACACACACACACACACACACACACACACACACACACACACACACACACACACACACACCCCTAAACAGTTGGTCACACTCATACACACTCACATACACACTCTCACACACACACTCTCACACACACTCTCACACACACTCTCACACACACACACAAACACACACACACACACACACACACACACACATACACACAGACACACAAATACTCGCATAAACACTCGGTCACACCCACATAAACAAACACTCGGTCACACTCTGACATACACACACACACACACACACACACACACACACACACACACACATACACCCCTAAACAGTTGGTCACACTCATACACACTCACATACACACTCTCAAACACACACTCACACACACACTCTCACACACACTCTCACACACACACACACACACACACACACACACACACACACACACACACACACACACACACACACACACACACACACACACACACACACACACACACACACACACACACACACCCCTAAACAGTTGGTCACACTCATACACACTCACATACACACTCTCACACACACACTCTCACACACACTCTCACACACACTCTCACACACACTCTCACACACACACACAAACACACACACACACACACACACACACACATACACACAGACACACAAATACTCGCATAAACACTCGGTCACACCCACATAAACAAACACTCGGTCACACTCTGACATACACACACACACACACACACACAGACACCTCTGATCTCATAGATGGTGGATAAAGTGAGAAATATTTGCATATTCATCAAGTTCACTTTATTTGTATAGCACATTTACAACAGCCACTAGGCTGACCAAAGTGCTTTACAGAACGACCAGATTAAAATATAGTACGACCTGCATAACAACACATAAAACACAAATAAGAGCAGCAAAGCTGAGCGAAACCTTAAAACCGGAGTGACAAAACAGTGTCAGACCCAAATATGAAGAGATCAATATACTAAAGTAAACAGGTATATGTTCAGAGAGCTCTGAATGCATATTCATGTATTGCTCAACCATGCAATATTGATAAAAAATAGTTCAGTCTAATTAAAATGTACCACTGTGTGCTACGTATTTTAGGCTAACATCAAAATCTATTGGAATCAATTGTGAATTAAAAGGATTTTATTTTCAACAGATTCATTCATAGTAGCATCGCTGAAGTCTAGCATCAAAATAAAAGCTTCCAGTGTAGAAAACGGCAAGAGCACGACATCGGTCACTTGCAGAGGTCAAGCTCTTCCTGGAGCCGCTGTCTCTCTCTCTCTCTCACACACACACACACACACACACACACACACACACACACAGTAATAAGCTGCTTCAGAGCTAACGCTCAGAGAAGCTAATGCTAGTCTGAGAGGAAAGTCTGTGGGTGGCAAATAAAGAGCACGTCACACCAGAGAGACGTGTGTGTGTGTGTGTGTGTGTGTGTGTGTGTGTGTTTATCTGCCTCTGAAATGACATGAAGAGCTGTGGGAGGATGGATGGCTGGTATTTGAGAGCGTTTAACGGGGGAAAAGAACAGCTACTCGAGGCGTATTCTCACAGGACTGCATGACGTCAGCTGCGCCTCTGCCCCTGGATCTGCTATTTTTACATTCTGTCTGTGAAAAAGAGGCAGGAACAGAGAGAATAATTACAGTATTCAAATTATAATAATAAATGGGTCATCAGAATCTAAATAGAGGCTCTATATCCTACACAGCTCTGAAATGTAGACAATGATTGATCGCATCCAAAAATAAAAGTTATGTGTGTAATATACACTCACCTAAAGGATTATTAGGAACACCTGTTCAATTTCTCATTAATGCAATTATCTAATCAACCAATCACATGGCAGTTGCTTCAATGCATTTAGGGGTGTGGTCCTGGTCAAGACAATCTCCTGAACTCCAAACTGAATGTCAGAATGGGAAAGAAAGGTGATTTAAGCAATTTTGAGCGTGGCATGGTTGTTGGTGCCAGACGGGCCGGTCTGAGTATTTCACAATCTGCTCAGTTACTGGGATTTTCACGCACAACCATTTCTAGGGTTTACAAAGAATGGTGTGAAAAGGGAAAAACATCCAGTATGCGGCAGTCCTGTGGGCGAAAATGCCTTGTTGATGCTAGAGGTCAGAGGAGAATGGGCCGACTGATTCAAGCTGATAGAAGAGCAACTTTGACTGAAATAACCACTCGTTACAACCGAGGTATGCAGCAAAGCATTTGTGAAGCCACAACACGCACAACCTTGAGGCGGATGGGCTACAACAGCAGAAGACCCCACCGGGTACCACTCATCTCCACTACAAATAGGAAAAAGAGGCTACAATTTGCAAGAGCTCACCAAAATTGGACAGTTGAAGACTGGAAAAATGTTGCCTGGTCTGATGAGTCTCGATTTCTGTTGAGACATTCAGATGTTAGAGTCAGAATTTGGCGTAAACAGAATGAGAAAATGGATCCATCATGCCTTGTTACCACTGTGCAGGCTGGTGGTGGTGGTGTAATGGTGTGGAGGATGTTTTCTTGGCACACTTTAGGCCCCTTAGTGCCAATTGGGCATCGTTTAAATGCCACGGCCTACCTGAGCATTGTTTCTGACCATGTCCATCCCTTTATGGCCACCATGTACCCATCCTCTGATGGCTACTTCCAGCAGGATAATGCACCATGTCACAAAGCTCGAATCATTTCAAATTGGTTTCTTGAACATGACAATGAGTTCACTGTACTAAAATGGCCCCACAGTCACCAGATCTCAACCCAATAGAGCATCTTTGGGATGTGGTGGAACGGGAGCTTCGTGCCCTGGATGTGCATCCCACAAATCTCCATCAACTGCAAGATGCTATCCTATCAATATGGGCCAACATTTCTAAAGAATGCTTTCAGCACCTTGTTGAATCAATGCCACGCAGAATTAAGGCATTTCTGAAGGCGAAAGGGGGTCAAACACAGTATTAGTCTGGTGTTCCTAATAATCCTTTAGGTGAGTGTATGTGTGTGTACTGTGTATAATTATTTTGTATATATAAATCCACACATATGGATGTATATATTTAAGAAATATTTGCATGTATATACTTTTATAAATATTTATACATAATTTATATTATAAATAAATAAAACTATTTTATATATAAATAAATTTTTCTTAAATGTATACATGCATATGTGTGTATTTACACACAGTACACACATATATATTATGTAAACACAAACTTTTATTTTGTATGCGATTAATAGTTGCCCAGCACTAAAAATATGAAGACATATTCGCTGTTCTCCTGCATTTCACTGAAAGGACAAGCTGGCATTATGTGGATATTACCCAGAATCCCATGCAGTAATGAGCCCGACTGTCAATATACTGCATAGACTGAGCTGCAAAAAACACACTGCTTGTGACAGCAAAAATATGACTTTTCCTCCACTCACTGCAGCTTGTAAATACATCTGCAGTTTCAGCTTTTGAATATTATTCAGATTCAGACACGTTTCATAACCCAGTGAACACTAGGCATCTGTAAGATTCAATCTGGATTGGCCCAGAAGCTCACAAAACGGCACACTTTGCACATACTTGCATACTTTAGGATATTTTGTGCATAAAGCCGCATTCTCTGAAGAACATGTGAGTGAGTGAATAACACTATTCTGATATTTCAGTGTCATGGTCAACCTTATAAAGTCTAAAGCTTTAGAAATCGATATAAGCTCGTGTCATTGAGCCGTTTCCCATCGCAGGACGATGCATTCAGTCCTTCTCATAATGTTATGTAATTCAAACACATTACCTCATTTTATCCAGCTTTCAGCTCCCTTTTAACTGCAGGAAGAGGAAGATCTGTCTGTAGGTTAGCATTAGTCTATATATGTCGTGTGTGTGTGTGTGTGTGTGTGTGTAAACACACGGACAGATGTTACGTTTCCAGCAATTAAACTCATGCTGTTGTCTCGACCTCTCAATCATTCAAATGCAGTTACAGTGAGTGATTACCGTCATTTAGCATTGTTCAAAAAATATAAGTAAATATGGTTTAAATATGTTTGGTAAATTTAATTTTTCTGTTGCAAGGTCTTTACTTTACATTCCACTTTAAAACCTAATGACAGCAATTTTAGGGATCATATGTTTAAGAAAGCATCTGTGCCAAATGGTAGGCGGCCGTATAATTATTGTATAATTGTATTTTCATAATTATGTATGTAGGATAATCATCCAAAGGAGCCACAGCATAATTACACTGCCTTCTAAAACACCTTCGTTTCGATAAATATTAAAGCAGCACTGCAAGTATCTTTTCTGGAAAAGACAAACCCATATTGCAATGCAACGGAGTAAGTGACGAGTAAAAAAAAATCCATCTGAGTATGAACTTATGTTACTGTTTTTTATTTTATTTGCTTTGGTACTTTTTTCACAAGTAAGGTGTACATTTTCACATTTGAACTGATCACACTTGTAACACAGCTGGTCATTCTTTCAAAACCTGATCCATGCTTTCATTAGTAATATAGTCGACATAATCATTGTTTCAAACACAAGATTATTGAAATATGTAATGAGACATTTGGTTTAATCACCGAAACACAACAGTATGATCTTCTTTCAGTTTAGTACTTTTAACAATCAATTCATTTAACAGCAAACAATGCAAGATACATGTTTCAAATCACCCTCGTTGATGAAATAATTACAGTAATACAGGCTACAGTTTGCCACATTAAAAATACACGTATTACCAAACTTATGTAATTGAATCCATAATGTTTGTAATGGTATCTATCTAGTCTAGTGTGTTATCAAAAGTTATGAAACTGCCATGAGGTTTTGTGCTTTTGTGCCAGTTTGCTGAAATACAGTAAATGTTTTCACTGTGCCATATGACTGAATATTGTAGTTGACCTTTACAGATGAAGAGTGAGTTACAGTAGTGTGGCAGTCTCTACCGTGGTAATCTGTTTACAGTATCACACGGCATACATAATGTAATGCAAAAATGTTAAAATGTTGTATTTGATGCCATCTGTCTCCCTTCTTCTGATGTATCTCTGACCCCCCCCCCCCCCCCCCCCACACACACACACACTCTCTCTCTTTTTCTCTCTCTCTCTCTCACACACACACACACATTTTGAACATAGTGGTTATAATCTAACATAAATCGCTTATGATACTGCTTATGATGTAAAAATAATTTGTTACATTTGGTTATCAGTATCGGAAATTGCAAACAAAGTAGAAACTGTATCTATAGAATCTGTATCTATGGCATTACCAAATGATTCATTGATTAACCATTAAGATCATTTGGATTAAATAATAGACAAATGTATTAAACTAGATGAAAATCAACAGTTTGATAGTAGTGGCATTATGGAAGACAGTTATTGTGAATGAAACATTTATATAGATGAAACAGTTTTTTTGTATAACACAATTGAAAACATGCTGAAATGTTTGAAAAAAAAGCACTTTTGATGATCTGTTGTGATATTAGTATATAAGTTTGAAAATGTACACCTTACTTGTGAAAATAGTACCAAAACGCATTAAAAAACCTGTAAAATATTGATTATAAGTGTACTTGTATTTCATTCGCTGCTGGAAAATATTGCAAAACAAACAAAAAGTTTGCCCAGTATTTGCAATCATATCTTTTTTGTTTTATTTTTTTATATATTGTGTTTTATGCTCAATATAAGACCATTTAGTATGTTCAATTGTATGAAGTTTAATTTTAGTGAATGTTATCACTGTTGTTAAAAAAATCCTAATTAACAAAGGGCCTCAGAACAATTTAATATTTAATATACAGGATATTTGACATTCTCTTGAGTCCCTGTCTGTGTGCTGTTGGCCAATAGGTCACAGGACTCTGTATATCGGTGTTCATGTTCCTCTGGGCAGAAGAACCCACCGACGGCATCGGCATCACGGACACCGGCACAGGAAGAGGAGCAAGGAGAGAGACTCAGGGGTCGAAGACGGACGAGAATCACCTTCATACAGTAACTGTCCATCCTTTCTTCATCACATGCAATCTTAGTATGTTTGTCACACAAAATGACTTTTACTTTGGCATTTTTTTTCTTGTTTTCAGCAAAAGCTTAGTTAAATTTGATACATATTTCATATCTTATTTCCTTTCGCATCTCAAGCAAATCTATCTTGAATTAAGCATGTTGAGATGTTTGTAACGTTACTGTAAAACAAAACAAAGATACGGAAACGCTTTATATTAAGGTCATTAATGCATTTAAGGGAAAGTTCACCCTACAATGAAAATAAAGTCGTCATTTACTCACACTGGTGTAGTTCTAATGCAGTATGTCATTATTTTTTGGATCACAAAAGGAAAAATGTAAAAAATATCCAGCTTTCTGTTTTGGTCTCTCCATATAATGGCGACCAGCATCAAGCTTTAAAAAAATACTTAAAAGTATCAGTGAATTGTCCCATGAAACCGTGTCGTATATTCCAAGTGTTCTGAGGGTTTATAATAGGGTTTGGTAAAAAAACATACAGAAATATAATGCATTGTTTAACAAAAATCCTGATCTTTACCGTTGGTCTTCTGTGCTCGTCCGCGTGTTCATGAGACTCTGTTAGCGCCGCTGTTCACTCCGACTTGCCCACAAAAACACACAAGTTGTGAGAAATCAAGATGAATATAAATGCGACATGTAATACAACTCCTAGAAATCCCAATAAAAGTATCCGTGTACTGTTGAATAATCTCCGGACCGGAACTATGAGAATGTCAGTTTGCAGATGTGAACGCAATGACTTGTTACGACGAACACAAGTACCTAGCTAACAATTTTTGGTTCCCAGAACGTTCTCAGAACGTTATTTTTTGGTTCTCAGAACGTTATTTTTTATAGTTTGTTTTTGGTTAGCCAGGAAAGTTTTCCTAACGTTCTCATAACGTTAGTTTTTGGTTCTCAGAAAGTTAGTTTTTGGTTCCCAGAACGTTAGTTTTTGGTTCCCAGAACGTTATCAGAACGTTAGTTTTTGGTTCTCAGAAAGTTAGTTTTTGGTTCCCAGAACGTTATCAGAACGTTCATTTTTAGTTCCCAGAACGTTAGTTTTTAGTTCCCATAACGTTATTTTTTGGTTCCCAGAACGTTAGTTTTTGGTTTCCAGACCGTTAGTTTTTGGTTCCCAGAACGTTAGTTTTTGGTTCCCAGAACGTTATCAGAACGTTAGTTTTTGGTTCTCAGAAAGTTAGTTTTTGGTTCCCAGAACGTTATCAGAACGTTAGTTTTTAGTTCCCAGAACGTTAGTTTTTAGTTCCCATAACGTTATTTTTTGGTTCCCAGAACGTTAGTTTTTGGTTTCCAGACCGTTAGTTTTTGGTTCCCAGAACGTTATTTTTTATGGTTTGTTTTTAGTTAGCCCGTAAAGTTTTCTTTACGTTCAACAACAATTCATCTTTTTTTTTTTTTACTTTAATAAAATACAACAGTAAATCTCTATATAAATAATCAACCTATACAGTCCATGTTTTTGTCGATTCATTGTTCAATTGTTGATTAAACACACACACACACACAAAAACAACACAATCATATAGGCTATGCATCACATTCAACACATGCGCAAAAGGCGAAACGAAAACAAAGTAACTACGAAAACATTTTTATTAGTAGTCTAATTGTAGATCCTGCTTGAAAGCCTCTTCCATCTTCACCACAGTCATCTGTAAATATAACAAATAGTAACATTATTATATAATGTTTCTCATGGGATCGTACAGTATTTTCAACATTTACGGGGGTTAGTTGGTGATTTTATATATATCTATATTTGACATATTCATAATCAATGCTTTTGTCGGTTCTTTGTGACAGCTTTTAGGTGCTTTATCGGCAGCGCCGCCGCCACCCTTACATGTTACATGAACGCGTCACCACCGCACCAAAAACATGATTGCGTGATGAAAACATGAAAAATACCACCTAAACATAGCCTAACTGTTTAGAAAGAAAACACCGAACGATTAGCCTAATGCGCATACATCCATCTCGTGAATGTATAGTCTTCTTCATGCATTTGCCATCATCATCCATTTGCCGCTTTTCCACTGGCCAGCGCGAGCACAGAGGCCGAAATCATGCCTCACAGCACTCCTGTAAAAAATAAATCTCTATACAAATATATCAGACGCTGCCATTTAGTCTTTATTTACAAACTTGGACACCACACGCGGCTACTGACTGACTAGGTAACTTAACCTACTTGCATTTTTCATTCGTTAATGTCTCGCGGTCTTGCTGTTTTTTTGTTTGTTATACAATTAAAACTAAAAGTCTGTTGTAACGCAAGCCTTACTGAACAGGTAACGAGTAAAATATTAATGAAAATTGATTAGTAATGCCTTACACTACTGCGTTACAGCAAAAAGTAATATGTTACTGTAATGTATTACTTTTGTAATGTATTACTTTTGTAACGCGTTACTCCCAACACTGTTCATAGCGTCTTCGAGATGATGATCAGGACAAAAACTCCTCTGCTACGGTGCAGGGCATCAACATTGAAGGATCTAGGAACACAACAAACCATTTGTCACAGAGCCAACAATATTATTATGCAATGCCAGGTTTATTAAAAGGAAAAAGCTACAGCAGAGGGGAAATGCAGAAAAGAGAAAGAATACACAGAAAATAATTTCTTAATTAGGATAACAGAATTTATTTTTAGGTTTGCTTATTCATTTAGTATTGCTCATACAGTGTCATTTGTTTGGATGTCAAAACCTTAAAATAAATTATACACTTTAAAAATGTAAATTTGATCAATTAAAAAAAAATAAGAAAATGACATGCATGGTGATATAGATAAAATATTGTGACAAAATGGAAGTTATTTAATGAGCTTCCTCGGTTCACCTGTGTTTCCTACATCTCTGGCAGCAGCTTTCTTCAGAAATGTTGAAGCCGTGGAGCTTCCACTCTGTTTTAGAGGGGTTATTTTGTTGCTGCTGAAAACACAGAAACATTTTTTTTATCAATATTTGTTTACCACTGAGCAGCTAGTTTCAGCCAATGTTCAAGCTCCATGTAAGTGACGTCACCGATTAACAGTAGGCTACATACCTTTGTTTACATTTATGTTAAATAAATTATAGCTCACTTCCAAGTAAAACCTTTACAAAAACTCTCATCTACACATAAGAGATGATTAAAAGCCCAAACTTTCATAAACAAAAGCTCAACCGAGTTAACGTAACTCTTAACGATACCTCTTCTGAAAACGGTTGAGATGCTAACGGACTTTTTCCGAAGACACTAAACCATGTGTATAAAGTAAATATTCAACAAAAGTGTGTCAATTACAAGTAAGAGAAGTGTCAAGAACAGTTGTGTGTATTATTTGTGTGATTTTAGAGACTAATCTCACCTGAAAGCAGTGAAAACAACAGCGAGAGAGGGAGTTTTGCTGCTTGTCAGTCGCAGTAGTCCCGCGCCGTTTCCATGGCAACTCTGCGCCGCTCCAATGTTTGAAAGCAACTCGAAAGTTCACGCGCACGGCCATTGATTAAAGCACGTCAAAAGCATGCATTGCAGCATTTACAAATATAAATATGTAAGCAATAAGGTACGAGAGGCTGTGCTGTATCGTGAATAAGTAACGGCTGGAGGGCGTTGTTAGGCACGACGCGAAGCGGAGTGCCTGCAACCCCTTCAGCCGTTACTTATTCACGATACAGCACTTGCCTCGAGTACCTTATTGCTTTTATAAAACGGTTGCCACACAATAAAAATATTAAAGCCGAAAAATATGTATCTATGCAACTTTCATGAAGTAAAATCACTAAAAGCCTGCCTTCCGCTGGAAAAAATAGTCCCGGAACGTGAACAGCAACAGAAGTTACATATATTATTTCGCCAATAGATGGCGGCAAAGACTGTCTTTATGAGTGAGTGAGTCTGTAGAGAAGGCTTTTGAAAGGACTCGAACTTGTGATCACGGAGAAGACAGACGCAACTGACAGATGACTAACGTTATGCACGGAAAACCCCATGACTGTTAAAAGGACAAAATATGCAGCGGACATTCAAACGCATTTTTTTATTATGAATATAGGACTGACCTGAAGGAAAATGCTACGTCTACTGTAAATGCAGGTACACTCGCTTACTCGATCTCTCACAATGCTCTGCTCTAGCTTTAAATGAACAATATCAATGAGATGAAACATCTGTTTAAGTTGGTAAGAGTGGTTGCTAGGGGTGTTGTGTAGTGATACATAGAACCGTTGGGTGAAGCGGTCATAGCCGTGTTTTATCGTGAATAAAGCACAGCTATTGACCAATCAGAATCAAGGATTGGAACTAACCGTTTTATAACTAGAATTAGAACATTACTTAAAAAAAATCTCATAAATATTAAATTATGAATTTAAAACTAATTTTGGAGATCTATGGCCCGTTCTATAATAGTTTAACAAATATGAAACTAAATGTAGCCATTAAATAAGCACATTTAGTTTCATATTTGTTGAACTAATATAATGTTATTTTTTTCCCCATCTGCTGATTATGAAAATTGAACAGCATGAGTAAGATGAGCAATATATCGGGAGACATGATGGGTCAGACATGATTTTGACCACTTCATTAAGTTTTGTTTTGTGGAAAGCCTTTCTTTAAAGTGAATTTCGTTTTGTGTAAATTGTATCGTAATTTTAATCAAATTTCCATCAACCAATTGCTATAATAAATAAGAATCAAACATATAGCAGACAATAATCATGACATGGAGGCGCGGCGCGGCGCGGCGCGATTGCATTGCGTGAACTGGAGAGCAAATCTTATCATAAATTAATTAACCGAAACTCAGGTATGCCTCACAGACATGAGGAACTATAGAATGCTTGAAATGTCTTTTAAACAAAACAATTCAAAACGAAAATAAATCCATTATGTGCATTTCTATAGGTGCCGCCCCAGAAAATAAGCGCATTATTGATGCACAAGTCATTGTAGCATTTATTGCATGATCACATTATGGAAGGTTACAACTTATTTTTTCCTTCTCAATTGAACCTTCCAGCAACGTTCTGGGAACAAAACAATAACTTAAAAAATAATCATTAAGCAACGTTCTTTATAAGTTGTTTTGAGGTTATTCAAAAAATAACCTTCCAGCAACGTTCTGGGAAAGTTGTTTTATGGTTGCAAAACAATAACTTCAAAATAACCATTAGGGAACGTTCTCTATAAGTTGTTTTGAGGTTATTAAAAAAAGAACCTTCCAGCAACATTCTGGGAACGTTGTTTTATGGTTACAAAAAAATAACTTAAATATAACCATTAGGGAACGTTCTTTATAAGTTATTTTTGGGTTATTTAAAAGTAACCACCCTGCATCGTTCTGGGAACGTTGTTTTATGGTTACATAAAAATAAAACCTAAAAAGAACGTTCCCCTAACGTTAGTATTTGGTTCCCAAAAAAATAACCAAAAACTAACGTTAGGGGAACGTTATGTGTTAACTGGGTAGCTGCTAATATATTCACCTCAGAGAAGAAGTTACATGGTTTGTGTTTCATGTGGCGTTTTTATTCATTTTGATTTCTCATAACTTGTGTGTTTTTGTGGGCGATTCGGAGTGAACTGCAGCACTAATAGTCCTAATAGTCCAGTCATTTTAAGCCAAAATGGGGGTCGTCAACCTTGAACAAATTGCAACAGAAGCAAACTCAACTGATTTTGTATCCTCAATATGTCCTGAGTAAGGAAAAAAAAAAGCCCCGAAGAATCCCATTAGGGGAAAGTTTCGAAAAATACCCAAATATATCCCATTCATACGCCTATTCATTCTTTTTCTCACTTGAAAAGGGTAAAAATTTTAACCTTTAGATATCATCATGAAAATCACTGAGTTGATTACTTACATCAAGACAAACAAAAAATTTAACAAAAGTTTTTTTGCAATTGTTTGTTAGCATGGGCAAACGGTGCATAATCTAATTACATATGTGCTAATTTGCATAAATACCCAAACAGATCTAAACATTGGGTATAGCAGGTGAAAATGTCTTGTAGAATTTTGTTGACATAACAGTAAACTATTTAATATTAAGGTCTGAATGGAACCCATTTAGGCTACCCATGAACATTAATGCAGGAAGAAGTACTTTAGAAACCAGCCTTTATTAATTATTATGGCAGAGATGGGGTTTGGGGCTGGGTCAGTGCGACTGTTTCTGGGGGATGAGTCTGAGGGAAGAACAGGAGACATGGGTAAGGAGAAGACAAAAGGTAGGTGAAATAAAGTGTCTGGATCAAAAAATCTAATTACGTACACAATGCACTCAATGCCCAAACCCCATCTCTGCAATAATAATTAATAAAGTACTTCTTCCTGTATTAATGTTCATGGGTAGCCTAAATGGGTTCCATTCAGACCTTCACATTAAGTCTTTTACTGTTATATGTCAACAAGATTAAAAAAAAACATTTTCACCTGCTATACCCAATTTAGATCTGTTTGGGTAATTATGCAAATTAGCTAATACGTAATTAAATGATGCACCGTTTGTCCATGTTAACAAATAATTAAAAAAAAACTTGTAATACATTTTTTGTTTGTCTTGATGTAAGTAATCAACTGAGTGATTTTCATGATGATATCTATTATCATTTCATGATAATTTTAACCCTATCGTAAAACCCCAGAACACTGGGAATATACCAGGGGCGATTCTAGGATTTCAATATCGGGGGGCTCAGCCACCTGTGGGTAAAATATATTTTTTTGTAATGTTTTAAACTTTTTTTTTTAACTACATTTGTGCAGTAAAATCAACTTTAATGAAGAGCTACATTTATCATTTTCATTCATGGAGATAACATGGAAAATGTGCCAGGCTTTAGTGGAGGATTTCTGTCACCTGGTGGAAAACACACATTTAACATGAAAATGACATGAAATTACCACTATAACCAGTAGATGGTTGCTGAGGATCACTCATATATTAGCTCATTCGCCATTTCCACTCGTTTAGCATGTTTTGCTTTTGGATTTATTATAAAAGGAATATTATAATAAATTGAAATGTAAAATTCTAACAATTTTATTGGACTGAAGTATGAAGTAGGAATTGAATAAAAAGGAATTTTAATAAAAAACAACAAAAATAAGCCCAGATTTTTACAGTGGATGGGGCTAAAGCCCTCCTAAAATGGGCCTATAGTGACGCTCCTGGATTATACGACACTTGTTTCATGGGACCATTCTGTGATACTTTTGCATCCATTTTAAAAAGCTTGATGCTGGTCGCTATTCACTGCCATTATATGGACGAGAATGAGCGGGACATTTTTTACATTTCTCCTTTTGTGGACCGAAAAAGAAGGAAGGGCATACGGCATCAGAACAACACCAGGGTGAGTGTTTTTATTTTAGGGGGAACTACATTTACTAGCAATGGGCAATACATGTGTGCAGTAAATGACAGTATTTTTTAAAATCATATATCCTTCTTTATTTTTTCTGTTTGATGTCGTCTTCTGTTCCTTCCGATCCCCTTTCATCGTTTCTTTTTCTCTTTGACGGTCTGTCCTATTTGATTGTTTCTTTGATGTGCGTTGTCTTTCAGTTTTGGTCTCTGATCCGGACAGGCTCACAGTCGAATGTGTGTTTGTCTTTTAGCAGCTCATCATGACGACTCAACAGTGACGAGTCCAGATTATTTCCTGTGGTGTATTATTGTCAGCATTACTTGTGTGTGTTTTGGCCCTCTGATGCTTTTTTAGCTGATGTTATATGACTATTTTAGCCATGTGACCTTTACGATATTAAAAAAAAACCTGAAATGATGTGTCACAGATACTCCCTCTCAGAGGGTTCAGTTCCTGCTGGGCACTGAGGATGATGATGAAGAGCACATACCACATGACCTCTTCACTGAGCTGGATGAGATCTGCCTCCGGGATGGAGAGGATGCTGAGTGGAGAGAAACCGCCAGGTACTGACCCATGTGACTCGGTCATGTGATACCACCTCAACCAGTCATATCTAGCTTCATACTGCATTCACCGCATAATTATGAGATGACAGCCCATGACGTTCTACTCAGAGCTGTTCTCGTCTTGTGCATTTCTATTGCACTCTACGGTAAAATGAATCTGCAGCGGTCAGGTGGTACGAGTTAGAGCTCTTCTAAATTGTAATTACGAGGACGTGAATGCTCTTTACAAGTTAAAAATCTTGTAAAATTATAGTAAATCTGGCACATTTAGTCGTTTAATACGCATTTATGGTTCAGCGACAAATCAGGATGTCTGAGAAGATGAAAAGGATAATCCTGATTTTATTCAATGATTTTATTGCGCAAAAAAGTGGCATAATCATAGTAAAAAGTAAAAATGTATACATTTTCATGTCATAAAAGCATAAAAGTATTTTGTGTGCAATCTGATTTTATTAAATGATTTTAGTCAGTGACTAAAAAAGTGATCTAAAACAATTACCTTTATGATTTTTGAATCTTTGACCTTTTTGAATGGCCTTTTTTTTAGCTTAATGATCAAGACATCCCAGAAGTTTTCCACTACTTTTTACTTGATTATTACACAGATCTAGAGTCATTTATTCTTTTTTTTTTTTGTGTCAAAAATGATATAGATGTTTTTCAAAATGCATGAAACCAACACGATGAATGCAAAGATTACATTTCAAAGAACCTGACTTGCTTGTGCTTTCACCATCTACGACATCTTTATTTGTTTTTAACCCATGAATAATTAATCAATATTTTTGGGGGGCTTTTGACATGACGTGTAAATGTTCAGCGTTGTCCAGAGATTGACTCTTGGCTGCTCTGATATGTTTTGAGAGCATGAGTGATGCATTAAATCTGTTGAGCGGCATTAGTCTAAGAGAGCTGAGGTTATATAAAGAACCATTGTTGTGTGTGTGTGTGTGTGTGTGTGTGTGATAAAACAGAAAGGCTAAATACAGCACTTATAATGATGATGATGGTTTCTACATTGTCAAATGGCATCACTTCTAAATGCAAGTGCACTCAGCACAGGAATTATTTTTATTTTGTCTTCATGAAGTATAGACAATGTAAATTGTAGTCCTTTACATCCAAAAAATATGAAATATTCACATGAAACAACACACATCCTCATTTAGTTATTCAGTTAGGGTTATAAAGAAGGGCAAAAATACCATTTAAAAAAAGATGAATTAAAGGGGTGGTATAATGCCCTTTTCACAAGATGTAAAATAAATCTCTGATGTCCCCAGAGTGTGTATGTGAAGTTTTAGCTCAAAATACCCCACAGATATTTTAAATAGCATGTTAAAGTTGTCACTTTTTGAGAGTTAGCAAAAACGCACCGTTTTGTGTCTGGCCCTTTAAATGCAAATGAGCTGCTGCTCCCGACACAGTGGGCGGAGCTTCAAGAGTGTGTGTGTTAGCAGCTCCGAATACCTCACGCAGACACACGCTAAAATTTCAGAAACTGTTCTGCCTTTTATGTTTAAACCTGAGTCAGACAAAAATGGAGAGACTAAGAAGTGACAACATCTAGAATGCAACAGGACATCTCTGAATGGTTAGTTGATGAATTTAACTATCTTCAATTAGCATATTCTGTCATGATAATCTATAAATCGCTCGTATAGGTGAGATGCACACAGAGTGACTTTCTATTGCATGTGAAAAGACAGATGCACAGCTTGAGCAGACTCACAAATGTGCTCGACTACAACAACTCTTCCTCTTCTCGTGTTCCCGGGGGCGGGGCTTATGTAAATTTTAGGGTTGATGATGTCACTAACCCGGGAGGAAACTCCTGTAGTTCCTACCAGCCGTTTGTTGTAGTCTTTAAAAAACGATTTCTTTAAAAGCAAATATCTCCCTTTGCTTTGAACTTTGAGCGTTGTAACTTTGCAGATGTTGTTTATGCTCCAACAGCAACATTACACACACTAAAGGCCAATTTATACTTCTGCGTCGGGTGCGCGCAGTAGTTACGGCGTAGCATACGCACAGACGCGTACCATACGCCGTACCCTTCGCCGTAACCTGACGCGCACCTCCTCAAAAATGTAACTACACGTCGCGACGACGCGGACCGCAAGATCTGTGATTGGTCGGCTTGGTAGCATCGCGTTTCCTCCTATGCATTTCCGGCGTGTTCTTCTGCACCGCCCGCCATTTTTAAATTCTGAGTACAGCGAAACTGTTAAAAAAACTAAAAATTTACCTTTTCCACCTCGATAAGCTCCAACTCCAACATGATCTGCTCTCTTTCAGTCGGCATTGCTTGTAGTAACCTAAACTCAAAACAGCCGCGAGGAATCTTCTTCTTCTTGCCGCGAGGAATCTAAACACAGTGGAACATTAAAACCCTCCGCCGCCAACTAGCGTTTCGGCGCTGTACTGCAGAGCAACGCAGACCTAAACGCAGAAGTATAAATGCTCATGACGGCGTTGCCTACGTGCGTAGCCTACGCCGTACACTACGGCGTACACTCGACGCAGAAGTATAAATTGGCCTTAACTAAAGTTAGAAAAGTGAAATCATAATCAACCACCTCTTTAATTTTTCACCTGCTTATCATTGCAAACACTGAATGACAGTTCATAGTGCTCTCAAGTTGTAAACAGGCATATTTGACATGTGAAATAAAGGACGTATGGCTTGTGCACGATATTCCGATTCTTCTGGATTAGTACGAGAGCTTCTTGTTCTGACATGCATGGGTCATCTGGCTGCTGGTGTGATGGTTTGAACTGTGTCCAGGTGGCTGAAGTTTGAAGAGGACGTGGAGGACGGTGGTGAGCGCTGGAGTAAACCGTACGTGGCCACGCTCTCTCTGCACAGTCTCTTCGAGCTGCGCAGCTGCATCATCAACGGCACCGTCATGCTGGACATGAGGGCCAGCTCTCTGGAGGAGGTCGCAGGTAGCGCTTTTTTATGCATCTAATCCAAAGCGACTTACAAGAGAGGAACAAAGCAATTCGTCAAGGAGCCAACAATAGTCGTAATATATAATGCCAGGTTTATTTTACAACTAGGTTAGGAAGCAAGCTGGAATGTAGATACGATTTGTGTGTGTTTTATTTTAAAGAAATGCAACAAATAAAATAAAAATATCATAGAACTGATTCCAGTAGGCTTTAAAAACATGGTGAAATCTGTCACTTCTAGGTCACATTTATTCCAAATAGGAAAATGGAAATGATCAAAGAAAAATCAAGACTTTTTTGGAGAAAGTTTGCATTGAATTACATTTCCCCAAATAATCCTCATTAATGCAACAAAGAAAATCCAATTCTGAGTCGGTCGGATAAAACGAATTGTGAACTATTTATGCAACATTTGTTGAACTTTTCTTTAATACACACTGATTCAAATTTAGTTTAAATTCATTGTAGTTTAACATTTTTACTTTAAAATACAGTAAAAAATTACAGTAATGTAGAGTAAAGTGATTCTCATTATTGAGATTAAAGCTGCAGTCCGGAACTTTTCCTCTTTGTCGCCATCTCTCTGTTCGAAATCTGTAACTGCAGTGATTCGCGGAATTATCATCTTTACGTGGGTTGTAAATCGGCATGAAACAGCGCGGATGAACACAGTGCTTTGAGGCGAGTGCTGCTGTCAGTCACCGCGCTGTGTGGATACTGTCATACAGAATCACTGATTCACTTTTTGAAAGTTTGACCAACATAAGAATTTTCATAAGAAAATGTCTTCTGAACAAGTAAGTAACATCCATTTTTGTTCTGACCAACTAAGGGGGGAAAAGCATTCGACATGATAAGCTTCGTTAGATTTAATCAACGTGATTTACAGCAACCGTGCAAATTATAGCCTACTTTGTTCTCAAATTGTTCATGTTAACAACATCAGCATTGCGTGACTAATGTTAAATTTAATGTGTTTTATGGTTACCTGCGTAGTTCAGAATTCATATTCTCCATAATAGCAAAACGAGAAAGGCACAACAAAGGAAACTCCATAACTGTGTGAATTAAGAAAACGTACTGTTACACGATTGAACTATTGAAATGTCTTACTTGTTCAGCAGAAAAAAGCCGTCTCTTCTTCCGTTTTGAACCCCTTCAAAACACGGAGTTCACGCACTTTTCAAAAGCCCCGCCGATGTTTAAATCCTTGTGTTCGCATGAGACGGTTTCTTTCTCTTTCTCTAGCCACCTTAAATCCGAAGTACGAAGTCTTTTGGGTTTTATAACTGCTGAATCTCCAGTTGACACTGATGATTGTTGTTTGGATCTTTCTGGATGCCATAAGTTTAATTATGTAAAGTGCTGCGAGAAAAGCCTATACATCTAAACATCTCGTCACGCGCAGTATAGCCGGCTAGCCGAAACTCCTTCTTTATGTGTACGGGTGTGACGTAATGACGCAAAGACATGCTCGAATTTCCCGCGGAAACCCACCAGTACCACTGGAATTAAAATCATTATTACAAGCTAACTGTTTTGAATCTAGCTATGGCAAGCAGATAGTTTTGACCACTGGCAGAATAAGTTTTTTTTAATATAATTATTTTGGATTATTTTTAACTTAAAAAAGTTACGGACTGGAGCTTTAATTACAATTCCAGGAAAACGTAAAAGCAAAACATACGGATGCATCACGTAATGAGAGTTCGGGGGAAAACGTAAAGGGAAAAAAGTGGTCATAAAAATAGTAGTGCTGCCAATTGAGTCAAAAAGCAAACACTTTTCTGTAAATAATCGTGATTAATCGCACTAAACTAAAAGTTTGGTAACACTTTATTTAGATAGTCCTCTTTAGACATTCAAATAACTATAAGTAACTTTGTAACTACATGTCAACTAACTCTCATTAGAGTAGTAGTAGGCTATAGTACTGACTATAAGTAACTTTGCAAGTACATGTAAACTTATTCTGCTAACCCAAAACTAACAGTCTATTAATACTCTAATGAGAGTTAGTTGACATATAGTTGCAAAGTTACTTATAGTTAGTAGAATGTCTAAAGTGGACTATTGTACCCTAAATTTGTAATATTTTTTGTATTGCATTGTTTTTATCATTGCTTCCATTGTTTTTGACCCATGTAACCTTGTATTTTACATACAACAATTTACATACCAGTAAAATTTTACAATTCTTGATTCTAATTTTTATACCACAACAATAAGCTTTATTTTCTTTTTGTAAACTATTATTGGTTGTTTTTGTCTTTTGATTGTGAGGCAAACTGTGACCTGAACATGTTTCCGTGAGATTCACTCTTTTATTCTTTCCGGTGAAATGTTTACCATCTTTGGTCAAATGAGCTTCCCTTGTCAAATTATCACATTGTAATAGGCTGTGTCTGTGCCAGCGCTCGTATGCCTCCGAGGAACACCTTAAACTGAGTTCAACACTTTAATCTCTGTGGGATTGGTGTAAGACGTGTGTACAGATTCTCAGTGTTTACAGCTCAGGTAATTGACATTTATGTACAAAGATTTAGTGTTCAGCTTCTGAGCTTTGATATTTCTTGAGTTGAGCCTGAGAAAGTGTTGCATATTCAGTAGGTCAGTAGCAAAGATACCGACGTTATTTTGGAGACTTATTACTCTGAATATTAATAAGTCTATTTTCGGACACAACCCTTAAAGGGGTCATGAATTGAGAAATCAAAATTTTTCTTGATATTTTGACATGTAAGACGTCATTGTACTATAAAAAATACCCTGTAAGTTTCAGAAGTCAAAACTTCCTTGTTAGTCCCAAAATGGCTTTTATTGAAAACCAAGCTTCCAAAATGACTTGTTTCGGATTTTGTCTTAGTATGTATGACATCATAGTGTGACAAAAGACCGCCTCTGCAGAAGAAGATCGACGCCCACTTCTACATCACTGCCTCTTTAGCTCCGCCCACTGATTCATGCAAACACAGGATTACTCCAAAAACCATAGAGATGTTAAACTATGTAACGAGATAAACACGTCTGCGTTTCAACACTTATAATGATAAAATACATTACTACCTCACAAATACACAAGGAATAAATATGAATAAAGATGATTAATTTCTCAAACATGTATGGCTGAATTTCACCGGGTGCCATTTTTCAGCATCGGAAGTTTTCAAAACAATTCCACACGCGTAAAATTATTGTAATATGAAAAACTGTTACCCAATCTTATCAGTGGCTGTTTACTGTTTCGCAGAGAGAGGTAAAAAATGATAGAAAATAGCCTATTACTTCTAATTTAGGATGATTTTTGATCTTGATAACATTACAAGTGGACCTCAAAGAACATTACAACTTTTAAAAATGCAGTTCATGATCCCTTTAAAGTATTGACTACAAATTAAATTACTGATTCAACATTTCCACCTTTATTGCTGTTGGGGCATGTTGTCACAAAAAGTCAACGTGAGTTGGATGATCTGTATATTTCCATGTACTGTATAGGTTCAATGCGATAGAACAAGCATCAAGAGGTGACTGTGCTGTGGAAATGCATTGTCTTTGTTGTTTAGTGTCAGTCATGAATTATACAGCGTTTGCACCTTCTCAGTCTCTTAAGCATGTGAATTTTGCATTACTCATAGCTGTTCTGCATCTTCAGATACATGAGACGGGTCTCTGAGCTGCTGCTCCATCGCTTGTCATCAGCATCAATGTCAGTTTCTGATGCAGAGTTCAAGGAACATCTGCAAAATAGGCACAGATGAGTTTTTTGCCAAACATTTAGCATAGATTAGCCATTTAAAGCACATTAGCTCCGGATATATCAAGACAGCACTGGTCAGACACATGCCTTGCGGGGAATTAATGCCTTTAGAAATTCATCACTCTATTTATTATTCAGGTTTGGTTTGAAATGAATAATTAACACTTTGGTGGAGCATATAAGTTGAATATACCATTTGACAGCTCTATAACACTGCAGATCACAATGACAATAAACGTGAAAAGAAGATTTGAATGACATCAGATGATTGCAAAACTACTAATTTCGTTGTGATGTTAAGTTTGATATATATATGTACAGGTGAAACTCGGAAAATTAGAATATCGTGCAAAAGTTAATTTATTTCAGTAATTCAACTTAAAAGGTGAAACTAATATATTATATAGACTCATTACATGCAAAGTGAGATATTTCAAGCCTTTATTTGTTATAATTTTGATGATTATGGCTTACAGCTTATGAAAACCCCAAATTCAAAATTAGAATATTATGAAAAGGTTTTCATAAGCTGTAAGTCATAATCATCAAAATTATAACAAATAAAGGCTTGAAATATCTCACTTTGCATGTAATGAGTCTATATAATATATATTAGTTTCACCTTTTAAGTTGAATTACTGAAATAAATTAACTTTTGCACGATATTCTAATTTTTCGAGTTTCACCTATATATATATATATAAATATATGTAAACATACAGTATATGGTGAAGAGAGAGGGGTATTAATGATAAATAGATAGATAGATAGATTTAAATAGTTTTTGTATGTATATACAGTATATATTTTTAAAATGTATTTATATTTATTCATTTATTTATTTATTAATAAAAGGGAAAATAATGAGACTAATAAGTTTTTTAGTTCAATATTGCAATATTATCTTCTTATCTGCTGCTGATCATTTGTAATGTTGTGTGTTGAATTTTTTAGATATGGTTCTGGACCAACAGGAAGTGGCTGGACATCTTGAAGATGATGTCAGGAGGAAGGTCAAAGAGGCTCTTTTGAAGCAGCATCACCATCAGAACCAGAAGAAACTGGCCAATCGGATTCCCATCGTCCGCTCCTTCGCTGATATCGGCAAGAGACAGTCTGAGTCCAACTGCACCGACAAAAACGGTATTCATTTGTCTTAACACAGGAGGTCTGATTCTGCAGATGACAGTAAAATTAAATACACTACAGCTCAAAAGTTTGGGGTCAGAAAATGAATACGAAATTGGTATGTTTTTTCAGTAAAGTATACATTAAATTGATCAAAAGTGACATTAAACAGTGACAGATTTATATTTCAAGTAAATGCTGTTCTTTTGAACTTTCTATTCATCGCGAATACTGAAAAAAAAAGAAGAAATACATCAAAGTTTCCACAAAAATATAAAGCAGCACAACTCTTTCAACATTGATAATAATCAGAAATGTTTCTTGAGAAGCATATTAGAATGATTTCTGAATGATAATGATGCTGAAAATAAATGAATAAATTACATTTTGAAACATATTACAATAGGAAACTGCTAATTTAAGTTATTAATAATAGTTTTTACTGTATTTTTGATCAAATAAATGCAGCCTTGGTAAACATTTCAAAAGCATAAAAAAATCTTACCAGCCCCAAACGTTTTGAACGATAGTGTATAACAATATGCAATGTTCTACACATTTCTTCCTTATAATTCAGAGGTGTGTAAAATTTCTTCAAATGCAGAAACCCAAAAATACACACAATTTCTGTATTCTGTACACAGATATTTTTGGCTATTTACTTGCATTTAATTCAGTAACTCTGGTGATTTGCTTAATTTGACTGTTTGTTGTTTCTGGTTTCATTAGAAATGTCAGATCCACCATCTCACAGTTTCAGCGTCTCTGTTGTCTTGTGTGTGTGTGTGTGTGTGTGTGTGTGTGTCTGACAGGCGCTTCATCTCATCTCTTTAAGTCTTCTCTGTGGCGATCAGTTGTTTCAGATGGGAATGATGGGCAGGTCTCATCTTGTTCTCCATGTTGGCCTCTGTGCTGCTCGTCCAGTGTGTCCATCACTTCACCTCTCCCTCCTCCATCCTCCTCATCCACACACCCAAACAAGAACCCCACCGCCACCTTCAGCCCGGACCGAGAGGACGGCTTGGATCCAGGCAACGTTTAACTTCAGAGACTTTCCCTTCTGCTGTAGTGCTTCCTAAAACATAACATGTAAAGGTGGTTATCTCAGAGAATAGGTTGCACGTGGTAAAAAACGTCTTAAATGGTGGAGGACTCTTTTCAGGACATGTGCGGCACACTTGATTATTGTCATTTGCAGTGCTTCGTGAGATGGGCGGCGCAAAAGAGGTTTTTTTTGGTGTGAATTGCTTGTTACGATTTTCTGGTGGAGATTTATTTGCAGAATCATGGGTGATATAGTTTTTCAACAGGAATTTCGCTTTTAGACATGATTTTGTAAAAATTAAGTTGAAATGCAGGCTGACGGCTTCAACAAAAGCAAATACCATTGATTAACAACCTCGTAGCTGACATTAAGGCCGTGTGTCCACCAAAGCGTTTTCCCACGCGCCTGGCGTATGTTTTCAATGGGAGCGCCGCGTTTTTTAAACGCCATGAGCGTAACGAGGCGCTGAGCGGTTTTTTCACGCTGAAGCGCCGAGCGCCCGGCGTTTTTACAGGTCGCCGAGAGTTGAAAAATGTTCAACTTTGGGTAAAACGCAGCGCTCATCACTGTCACTTTTTACTCAACCGTCCAATCACAGTGGAGGAGGGGCGGGGCTAATACCACACCGACCAACTGTCACAACATTCTTTCTGTACAATGACATCAACTGGCAGAGCTAACCGAACAAAATGGATGAAACATTTTTTTTTTTGTAAGAAACAAATTATCTGCGAAATCAGTTACAAGTAAACTGTGCTGCGGATATTCTGTATCATAGCAACGAAACGTATCAACGGAAAAAACGCTGCGCTGCCTAAGGCCGTGTGTCCACCAAAGCGTTTTTAGCCAGCTGAAAACGCTAGACGCTCTGCTGAAGACGCCTAGCTGTGAGCGCTTGAGAGTGTTTTGGCAGAGGAGCGTTTTTTCCGTTGAGACGTTTCGTTGCTATGATACAGAATATCCACAGCACAGTTTACTTGTAAATGATTTCGCAGATAATTTGTGTCATACTAAAAAAATATTTTCTCATTCATTTTGTTCGGTTAGCTCTGCTGGTTGATGTCGTTGTACAGAAAGAATGTTGTGACAGTTGGTCGGTGTGGTGTTAGTCCCGCCCCTCCTCCACTGTGATTGGACGGCTGGGTAAAAAGTGACAGTGATGAGCGCTGCGTTTTACCCAAAGTTGAACATTTTTCAACTCTCGGCGACCTGTAAAAACGACGAGCTCTCAGCGCTTCAGCGTTAAATACACGCTCAGCGCCTCGTTGCGCTCATGGCGTTTAAAAAACGCGGCGCTCCCATTGAAAACAATTGAAAACGTACGCCAGGCGCGAGTAAAAACGCTTTGGTGGACACACAGCCTAAATGCTCTGAAGCGCCCACAACTAGGCGTTTTCTGCAGAGCGTCTAGCGTTTTCAAAACGCTTTGGTGGACACACGGCCTAAGTCTGTCTTTGATGGTTTTTGTTATCATTCAAACCAATTCCCATATGGAGAAAATGAATAGGTTTGTTGTATTCTATACGCTGATTTCACGCAGCCGCCATTTTGAAATCGAAAGCGAGGCTCCGGTGGGAAGAACCCCGGAAGTACAGATAGACAACAATGCCTTGGACTACCAACCTGAAGCTGCTGCCGCGATTTACACTATTTGATGTTAATATCCAATATAGGATATGTATATAGTTCGTTCCTGCTTCTTTTTTAACGTTCTGAATTGTATATAATTTTTTTATTTTTTTTATAAATGAATTTCACTGTATATAGTCTAAAGTATGAAAGAAATGTATGTACATTTTTAGAATAACTCATTTCTACATTAAACACAACAATACGCCATCGCATTCGCGACTCTCCTAGTATGATTAAAGGGGACACTTCCGGGTTTCTTCCCACCGGAGCCATTTCAAAATGGCGGCTGCGTGAAATCAGCGTATTGGGTGACAAAACAACATTTCCCATGATTCTCTGATTCACTGCGCAACTCACAAGAAGGATAAAATGCGTTCCTTGTTGCACAAAAGCTAAGAAAATCTTGTAAAAGTGTTCAAAACACCATAATTATATGATTGTGGTTGAGCAAGAGTTGAGCTACTTTTATGCTACTGGTAAAATATAGTTAATTTAGTAGCATTGCTTCTTTTAGTTGGTTACGCCCAGGGCTTGACATTAACACCTGCTGCCAAATGCGGGTGTATTTCAGCGGTGGTGTGTAACGCAGTCACTCCTACAAGCCACTTTAGGGGGGTTGAATTTTATATATATTAAATACATGTAGTCTTTTAAAAGGCATCTGAAATAATTAACTAAGAGCAATGTAGTGTTGTCAAAAATATAGATTTTTTAATACTTATCGATGCTGATATATGTGAAACGCTTCCAATACTCGTTTTCCACTGATACACAATACCAGCTGCTCTTTCTCACAACGCCGGTCTTAGCAAGTATTCACGTAAACAGTCAGTTATGTTTTAAGGATGTGGTTGAATATGATTTTACTTTTCTAACTTTAGTTAGTGTGTAATGTTGCTGTTTGACAGGGGCGTAGAATTTAGTAGGGACGCTAGGGATGTGTCCCTACAATATCCAGTGACACTAATAAATACCTAGCAATAATTTCGATCAAAACTTAAAATATATTTATATATTGATGTCCCCGACCCGTCCCCACCAATTTCAAAATCAAACCTACGCCACTGCTGTTTGAGCATAAACAACATCTGCAAAGTTACAACGCTCAAAGTTCAAAGCAAAGGGAGATATTTGCTTTTAAAGAAATCGTTGTTTAAGGACTACAACAAACGGCTGGTAGGAACTACATGAGCTTCCTCCCGGGTTAGTGACATCATCAACCCTAAAATTTACATAAGCCCCGCCCCTGCAGTCCATGTTGAGAAGAGGAAGAGCTGTTGTAGTCGAGCACATTTGTGAGTCTGCTCAAGCTGTGCATCTGTCTTTTCACATGCAATAGAAAGTCACTCTGTGTCTATCTAATTTATAGATTTTCATGACAGAATATGCTAATTGAAGATAGTTAACTCCACAACAGCAACATAAATTTATCAACTAACCATTCAGAAATGTCCTGTTGCATTCTACGTGTTGTCACTTCTTAGTCTCTCCATCTTTGTCTGGTTTAAACATAAAAGGCAGAACAGTTTCTGACATTTTAGCGTGTGTCTGCGTGAGGTAATCGGAGCTGCTAACACACATGAGCTCTTGAAGCTCCGCCCACTGTGTCGGGAGCTGCAGCTCATTTGCATTTAAAGGGCCAGACACAAAACGGTGTGTTTTTGCTAAACCTCAAAAAGTGACAACTTTTTAAACAGCTTTTTAAATTTGACAGCTATTTAAAAACATCTATGGGGTATTTTGAGCTAAAACTTAACATACACACTCTGGGGACATCAGAGATTTATTTTACATCTTGTCAAAAGGGCATTATACCACCCCTTTAAGTGAACATAAAAAGTTGAGAAAGAACACGCATGTGTAATGGATTCGTAGCCTGACTTCGTCATACTCATATTCTAGTCAGAATGTGAGTCTGATACTGCTTCATAGGGCTTTGATTATGAGGCGTGTCTTAACCGAACCAGGAAAAAAAAAAAACTCTGCACTCAATTGGATAGACCTACAACAAATGAGAGCAACGCAGTAAGTCAACTACTTTGCATAGCACAGTTGTCAACTACAGCACTCAAATGCACGCACGCTGGAAGAAGTAAAATAACGAGTGTTGCTTCTTTTACTTGGCCCTCTATGAGTGCGACCAAAGGAGAAACTACAACGACCACAGGGTTTTCATTGCGTCCCATCTTCTTAGTTACCATCGGAGCCAGCTGATAAATTAAACTTTTGCCGAATCCCGTAGGAAGGACGGCAAACACATCTTTCCGATCGACAAATGCATTGATTGCAGTTCTATGTTCGTCTTTTAAAATGAATGCGCTGTCGATTTCTTTTACAACAGACGCGATAGCGGAATCTCTACATCTCAGTTCTCCAGCTGCAGTCATCTGTGAGGGAAACCAGTTCAACCCAAGCGCTCTTTGATAACGTGAGGATTACGTCCCTGCAGATCATCTGTCCATCATCGTATAAAGCCCGCCCTGGCAATTTGATTGGCCCGACGATTTCTGAACCGATCATAATTACTCCTCAATGGAGCGAGTCCAGACCGAACTTCCCGATCAAAAAATGTTGTGGGCGGGGTTCGGGCTGGCATCCAGGCTAATGGATTCGTGCATCAGGTCTTAAAGTGACAGTAGCTTAATATGCCTGATGCCAAATTATGAGATAATATAAAAAATATCTGTATGCAGGGCTGCCAACTCTCACGCATTCAGCGTGAGACTCACGCAATTGAGCCAATTCTCACACTCTCACGCCACACCCCTGATTTCTCACGCTGAAGTGTCAACCCGGTCGGTCAAATGCCTGAAAGATAAGTTTATCTATAGATCTACCAGTTGAGCCATTCGTGATCGACTAGTTTTACCGCAAATTAGTTAAAATATCCTGTAATCTATAGCGAGCGAGCGTGACAGTTGAGAAATAATAATATTTTTACAGTTTTCAACAATAATTGTCATTGTTGAACCCTTGCTCTTATTATGTTTCTGATTTCTCAGTTTTGTCATTATTTTAGCAAATAATTTATTTTATATGTTTTGAGACAGTTTGTTTTAAGAAGTTTCAAAGAGTTAGTAAAAGAGTAAAGTAAAAGTTAAAACTTTTTTTATTTAAGTAGGCATCTATTTTTTATTAAGTAGGCCTATTTATTTTGTATTAATACATAACCTTACTGTATTCATTCATAATGTATCATTATTGCGTGACATTTGTGTCAATAATCGTCAAGCACAGGGGACTTCGCGTAGTGGGAGGGGCCCCCCAAATCAAATTCTGCTTAGGGCCCCCAAAAGATTCGGACCGGCTCTGGAGACCAGACAGACAGTGTGAGTTTTTTGTGACAATTGTGAGGGAAATAGCCTACACAATTTATTCCCATAAACTGTGTAGTCAGCCGTTCTCCCTCCCATCTGCACCGTGTGAATTGTGAACGCAGGCAGGTCAGTGAGTTACAGGGCGCTCCTTGTCTCCATCCAGTTCAGGCTAGTAACTAATAGGCCTGTTATATAGTTTATATAGAATTAAGTTAGCATTAGCAGAGTTGTTTGTTTTGCAGCACTGAGCAGTTATTTTACATAACTTTATCATAAAAAAACAGTACAAAAGCATTTCATGATGACAAATATCTGGACATGCCTAGTAGTTAATGTTAATTATTGTTTTCTAAGAACAGAATGTCAATTAAAATGTTAAATGTAAAATTAAATGTAATGTAAATCTCCCAAGAAATTCTGTACAGATACCAAATACTTTGACAACGCCCCTCAATAAGCCCCTCCCCCATAACCCAAGCCCCGCCCCCCAAAATCTCACTCTAAGCTGAACTCAAAAGTTGGCAACCCTGCTGTATGGCAGTTTTCCCCCATGGTATCGATGTCAAAATTGTGGCCAGAGAAAATGCAGAGTGGCTTGTAACTTTAGAAAACCACTATTCACAGTGGCTGGTGAGCAAAAAAACGGATGCCCCAACACAGTAAGTGTGAATTTAGGATTGTACAATTCATACCAGTATATAAGCAGTGTTTTTGCAGATACATTACTGTGAGGAAGGTGAAGGCTATTCTGAATATTCATCACCTTTATACAGGGCTTATGTTTAGGAAGTTTGCCAGCTTCCCACACGCTAACGCTAACACATGAAGTGCACCAGACCCCTCCGTTCTCCTCTGCTGTTCTCTGTTCAAACGCTCAGAGCATCATTAATACTCTAATTCATGCAGCGCTGCGCCAAAGCATTAAAACAGCAGCGAGCATGACTAATAAACACAAATCTGTTCATGTAGCGATGCTCTCTTAACCGAGGGGTTTGGTGGTGCTTCATGCGCTGAACGCTGTAGAGATGTTTCGCTTGCTTTCACTGCCTTTAGAGTAGACCACAATTGATTGAATTTGGATAAGTGATGCTTGTTAGTGATTTATTTACATCCATTTTTGAAGGCTGATGTAGTGAGCATACTCGTTAAATCATCTCTCGGCTCATTATGTCTCACTTTATGGATGTTTCATTCAATTTTGATGGTTAACACGTCTGAGATCATAACAGATCTTCATCAAAATCATTTTCGCTCCTATCAATTCATAAACTTCATTACAGTTTGCTACATTTAATTGGGAAATACAGCCGATGCTCATGCTGCGCTCCATTCATCGGTTGATTTGCATTGATTTGCATTGATTAGCATTGGCATTGATTGATTGATTGATTGATTGATTGGTAGTTTATGTGTCTGCAGGTCAGATGATGTCACCACAGTCTCTACCCATAAGCACAGAGGGCAAGAATGATGTGAGCCGTGAAAACAGTGCTGTGGACTTCAGCAAGGTTTGCCAAATAAAATACACTACCATTCAAATGTTTGGGGTCAGTAAGATTTAATTTTTTTAAAGAAATTAAAACTTTTATTCTGCAAGGATTCAATAAATTGATCAAAAGTGACAGTAAAAAACCCCAGACTTTCTGTTCATCAAAAGAATCCTGAAAAAAAAAAAAAAAAAATCCCACAAAAATATGAAGCAGCATAATCATATTAGAATGATTTCTGAAGGATCATCAGCTTTGACCACAGGAATAAATTACATTTTAAAATATATTCAAATGGAAAACCATTATTTTAAATTGTAATAATAATATTTCAAAATATTGCTGATTTTGGTGAATGAATGCAACCTTGGTGAGACATTAAAAAACCTTTCCGAACTCGAACGTTTGAATGTTATAGTCCATAACTAGATGTGATGCATAATTTTTTAATGTACAAAAACAATGTAATGTACAACATCAATTTACCGTAAAAGTATCGATTTTCTAAAACATACATTTATTAAAATTTACTTTTTCTTCCCCCAAACACATTTTACTGTATTGTTTAGTGAAATTACGCAATGCCAGTTGTGCTGGTAAATCTATTAACTCTTTCCTTGATGAAATTTTCCGGCTTTCAGTGTTTCCACTGTTATATGGGGGGGCGCTATTATGCATCTTCTGAAAGAGTACGAAATCTCCGGATCAAATTCAAAACACAGGCAAAAAAGAAGCAAAAACCAGCTATAAAAGCATTACTCATGCACGTTTTAGTCTTAGAAGAAAACGTGATTTTTTCATTTTTTGTTCAAAATGTTACTTTTTTATTAAACTTACCCACATACAAGTGTTGATAAAAAAGAATGCTTGATGCTAGAATAAAACGTTGTTGTTTGTTTAAAAGCAGAGGCTCTGTTCTCTCTTTATATGTATATTGCATGTTCAGATGTTCAAAAAACTAAATATTCTGGGGGCCATGAAATTTTTGTGAAAATGATCAAAAACACTGGCGGTGGCTGGTAATGTTTTTTAAAAACACTGGCAGGGAAAGAGTAAATTTTTTTTTTTTTTACATCATATATGGTAGTTTCTGTTAAAACAACTAACATTTGTACAGTATGTAAAGTGTCTTACAGTTCAGTAAAGTACATAGAGGTCTGTCGATTTTCTCTGAAAATTATCTCGCCGTCTGTCTGTTCTGGGAAAGGGATTATGGTTTAAACACATTGTGGCTGAAGCCCTCTTTACCTGACATTAGACTGTTCTGTTTCTTGCATTAAGTGGGTATTATGGTTGTGATCCCATGAACAGAAGAGAGTGCTGTCTGGGATCACAAAGAGTCATGATAAAATACTGTAATAAAATAAAGAATAACATTATGAAATCTTACACAACACATGACCTTTTGTCATGACCATTATGTTAGTATACATAATCTCTTTGGCTGTATAGATCATCTTGAACTTTGACCCTAAACCAGTCTAAGAACACATTTCCGTAGTAACCTAAATTCTGCAAAAAGCTTTATATAGGCCTATGTGCACACGCACAGGATTTGTTTTTTTCCGTGCTTTATAATATTCCAAGATTTGATGATCAAATCTCAGAATCCTGGATATGAATGGGTTGCAGAATTACGGTGGCTTGACAAAACCAGTATACTAGCAGAAAAACGGGTTAAGATTTTTATTACAACCAGTGATATTTTAGTATAATTAATATACTATTATAGTTTTTGTTGATATTTTGAATTAGATTTTTTTAGATCTGTTCTATTCTACCTTTAGTAAATTAATATATATATTTTTTTATATGTATAGTAACTGAACAAATTTATTCTTTTTTTCCCATAGTTTTCTCACTATTGAACTTTTCAAATCTCTTTAAAGTGTCCAATTATTTCAACAGCCTAAGGCCTGTATGACAAACCTATGGAAGCTTGTTTCCGCCACAGAATGAAAAATAAAAAAGGTAATTGCGACTTTTTATCTCACAATTCTGACTTTTTTTCTCATAATTGCGAGTTTACATCTCGCAATTCTGAATTTTTTTCTCACAATTGCGAGATATAAAGTCACAATTGCGTGATATAACGTCAGAATTGCGAGATATAAAGTCAGAATTCATTGATATAAAGTCAGAATTGATTGATATAAAGTCGCAATTGCGTGATATAACGTTAGAATTGCGAGATATAAAGTCAGAATTCATTGATATAAAGTAGAAATTGCGTGTTATAAAGTCAGAATTGTGAGATATAAACTATTCTGAGGGGAAAAAAGTTAGTCTTTTTTTCCCTTAGAATTGGCCTGATAACTCGCAATTGCATGTTTATATCTCACAATTCTGTGAAAAGATGTCAGAATTTCGAGATATAAACTTGCAATTATGTGTTATAAAGTCAGAATTGCGAGATGTAAACTCGCAACTGTGAGAAAAAGTCAGAATTGTGAGATAAAAGTCTCAAATCTGTCTTTTTTTTCGCAATTGCGACTTTATTTCTCAGAATTGCGACTTTATATCTCGCAATTGCGACTTTATTTCTCAGAATTGCGACTTTATATCTCACAATTGCGACTTTATTTCTCACAATTGCGACTTTATATCTCGCAATTGCGACTTTATTTCTCAGAATTGTGACTTTATATCTCGCAATTGCAACTTTATTTCTCAGAATTGCGACATTATATCTCGCAATTGCGACTTTATTTCTCACAATTGCGACTTTATATCTCGCAATTGCGACTTTATTTCTCAGAATTGCGACTTTATATCTCGCAATTGCGACTTTATTTCTCACAATTGCGACTTTATATCTCACAATTGCGACTTTATTTCTCACAATTCTGACTTCATATTTCGCAATTGTGAGATAAAAAGTCGCAATTATTATTTATTTTTTTATTCAGTGGCGGAAACAAGCTTCCATACAAACCTGTTCAAAACATCCATGCAAGACTTTGTTTTCAATATGCATGTGTATTTCTCACCTAGTAACTCCTGCATAATAATGTGTGTGTAGATAGACCTGCACTTCATGAAGAAGATCCCTGCAGGTGCGGAGGCCTCGAATGTCTTGGTTGGAGAGCTGGAGTTTCTGGACAGGCCTGTGGTGGCGTTTGTCCGCCTCTCTCCTGCCGTTCTGCTCAACGGCCTGGCAGAAGTGCCCATTACCACCAGGTGAACACCATGGGCCCTATCATACACCCGGCGCAATGCAGCGCCAGGCGCTACGCAAGTGTGTTTTGCTAGTTTCAGCCCGACGCAGTTTTCATTTTCACGTCCTGCGCCTCGTTGTTTAAATAGCAAATGCATTTGCGCCTATTTGTTCACCCATGGGCTGCTGGTCTGAGTGTTCAGGCGCATTGTTGGCGCGTTACTATTTTGAGGAACTGAAATAGACTGAGCCATTGACCAACAAAAACCTGGTCTAAAGTCAATGGCGCAATATTGTTTTTGTTATTTAAAGAGCGTGTTTTTAATGTACGCCTATTGGTGGGTCCTCAACACGCGTACACTGTTATTACACGCAGCAGCACACAAACATGCCAAATATATTAGGGCTGTCAGTTAAACGCGTTATTAACGGCGTTAACGCAAACCCATTTTAACGGCGTAAATTTTTCTATCGCGTGATTAACGGTGTTTTTGGCCTAGCAAACTTTGTAGTTTTTTTCACATGCTTTTGCAACAGTTACAGGACGCTACATTGCTTCGTCGACCAAAGCGCAAGCGGATCTAGCTAGACCGGAAACAAAACAACAGGCACGCCGACGCCGCACACACTTGTTTAGGCTTGCGAGCCGGCCAAATAGTTGGTTAACGTTACGTTTTGAGTGGATGGCGAGCGCGAGACGCCGAAATGTATGCCAATAAGATTCTGAATGGAAAGTTTACTTTTTAAAAAGTTGCCAAATTCCAGTGTTTTGACGTTGTGAACTGAGCTATCATCATCGCAGCACGTCCAGTCTGAAATACCACTTTATGGCCAAGCACACACACACACACACACACACAGCTGATGCGAATTCTCCGCCTCCTCGTCAATATCAGGACCTCGTCAGTATTTCTTTCACCTTTTTATTGATGGACTTACATTGTGTGAGAGATTATTTGCTCCAAGTGAGAATGTTAGTGTGAAATTGAACACAGTATTGTCAATGTTGTTTTCAATAAAAAACATTTGCACAAAGCAAGCCGATCCACTTTTCCATGTTGATAAGAGCATTAAAATGAGAAAAAATAATGGGACAAAATGAAATCAAGAGACATTTAAAATAGATAAAAATGTGCGATTAATTGCGATTAATCGCGAGTTAACTATGACATTAATGCGATTAATCGCGATTAAATATATTTGAATCGTTTGACAGCACTAAAATATATATATAAAAAAAAGGATTACAATGTAAAAGATTATTATTGTCTACATAAAGATATGGTGGAATCCGGCTTGTCCCGTCGATGGTGTTGCTTTAACCGCGCGCACGAGCAGATCTGTTTGCGCTTTGGAGACACGTTCAGTTTTTCCATTTGCAAATTCTGTCGTGTAAATAGCGAATCCGCCGTGGCGCGAACGCAACTGGCTTTTAAAGGGAATGGGAGATGAGACTCTGTTTTTTTTCCACGCAAAGCTCAAAACACACCCATTACTCATTAAAGGGGCACTTTGCAACTATTTCAACTTAATAAAACCGTTTAGAAAATGCACATGAACACACCCTCATGTGGTATTTTCCACTGGGCAGCTCTAATTTGAATATTATATTCAAAATAGAATATTTTGATGCACGAGTTGCCGAGATGAGATAACCTTTGACCTTTTCAAAATGGCGGAGAGCAACGCAAGAGTCGTGAATGGTAAAAATATGTACTATTCATGATCTAGAAAATATACAGCATATTATTTACCGTTTGAGTTTTGATAAATCATTTTCTTGCTGTAGCAGATGACTTAAGCTATCTAAAATAATAACAGGTCTGGATCTCCATCTTTTTACCACATTACGACAACAAAAGCACTTGAATGCAACACACGGGTAAATACCAGTTCACAAGTGGAAAATATCATATTTTCCATAGCACGTGAACGCACCATAACGTCCCGGTAAGTTGGAAATAGGAAGTCTCGTGAGAACCGAGAACGAGCGAGAAACACGAACTGCTTTATGGCAATTTGACATAATTCTATGATACTGTGTATGATGTATCACCCACTCGGTAGACATAGCTCCACACAATAAAGTTGGCCGGCTCCGATAATAACAAATGCACATGAGCAGCGGTAGAAAGTGGGAGGAGGGCGCCGCAAGTGTGTTTTTTTACGACAGTGATGTGAAAATATACACCGCACAGCTGTAGGGGGAGCTCGATGAGAAAACATGCGACAACAAAAGTGAAAATCAGCGAAGAAATCACTAGAGTTGCCAAGTGCCCCTTTAAGAGAATAGGGACGGCCCTTTTAGACCATCCGACCCGTTAAACTAGTAAAAGTGAACTTGCACTGTGTGCTTTAGACCAGGGATGGGCAACTTCAGTCCTGGAGGGCCATTGTCCTACAGAGTTTAGCTTCAACCCTAATCAAACACACCTGAACAAGCTAATCAAGGTCTTCAGGATTACTAGAAAGTTACAGGCAGGTAATTTTTGTCAGGGTTGGAGCTAAACTCTGTAGGACAGTGGCCCTCCAGGACCGATGTTGCCCATCCCTGCTTTGGACCATAGGCTTAGATCGTTCAAATAGGGCCCCAAGTTTGCTTTGTGAAACTCAACAGAAGAACACCAGTTACATTGCTGTTTTGTGCTTGATCTGTCAGATTCCTGTTCATCCTGCTGGGGCCTCTGGGTAAAGGGCCACAATATCACGAGATTGGCAGATCAATTGCGACCTTGATGACAGATGAGGTGAGAGAGCATGGTATTGTTTTACAGTTAGATACTGCTTTTAACAAGGTACTGTTTGTGTTCACTTTGTATGTTTGATACAGATGCATTTTAGAATATTTCAAAATGAAACATTTTGATTGGATGAGCTGCATTTTGGTATAAAAAACATAAAAAACAATTGTGGGCGGTTCTTATCTTTATGTTTAGTAAGCACATTGCATTATGTTCGTGAAAAATTTCACCTGCAATTTACACTTTAAGCCTCTGTAAAAAGTTTTTTTTGCAGTTTTTAAAAATTCTATCATTCCGATTTCTGTAATTTAATCAAAGTTTTTAGAGTTAAATCAGATCTATCAAAAATGATGTCACTTCGTGGAAGATGATGTCATTCAGGAACTGGCTTTTGTTGGTTTTACAAAAGACGAACAGGATGAAAAGGGAAAAACCTACAAAATGTAAAATTACTTAAAATGTACTTGTTTACTGAATGGTGATTTAAAGAAAACAAACTAATGTGATTTAAAAACAATTTTTTGTAAAATTTCTGGAGTACACCAAAGGGTTTCTATTTACAACGTGTTTTTGCAGTGATGAGCAATGAAGCCAATCACAGATATATCTGTTGATCTCTTGAACGCAGTGGCCAATCAGAGACATTTAAGTATATAAAGTTTTTTTTGTTCAGTTCAGAGTTCTGCACTCTCGCGAATACTCTCATTATAACAAACGAAGTGTAGACACGATGTAAATAAGAGATTAATAAAGAGCTTTTTAGTGATTATAAATGGAGCAGTTCGATAACAAAGCTGACATCAACAACAACAAACTTATAGTTGACAACATGTTATATTGGACTAATTTAAACACTGCCTGCATCATGACGTGAATAATACATCACCATAATGCGTTAATTATACATGACAGCTCAGTTATCATAGGTATTAGTTTTGCCATTAGCTTTCACCACTTAAACTGTGCTTTATTTTAGTGAAAAAATTTGTGAAATCACAAGTTAACGACTCTTCATGGCAGACACTGATGTTTGTGTTCTATTCTGAAATACCAACACTAACACTTTGGGTACGTTTTTGCTTGATTTAAACTGCAAGTAAAGTACAGTGTTTAAAAAAATTAAAATAAAATGTAAGCTTCTGTAATGTTGTTTCAGTTATGTTGCTGCTTGCTTTTACTTTACTAAAAAACTCCTATGTGTCGACACACTGATGATGGCTTAGGCTGAATGGACATGGTATTAATAAATATATGAGATATAACTAGAGAGTGCGGTTTTTCATCTTTATTTGATAACTTCTTTATAACTCGCACCCATAAACGGTTTGGGAGTTAAGCGTGCCTGTTCTCAGCTCTTCTTTTAAAAGAAACCATAGGACTGTAGTCTAAAGCATTCATGTAAAGTGTGAGAATGTCATTTTCCAGTGTATGCTCAAAAATGGCAAGGTAAGAGGCTATTTGATTGCACTTTTGTTAATTTGTAGTTTGTTTCATTCTTGTGTGATTCTTTTTTCTAGATTTGTTAGTTGTTTTATTATCACCATTTATTTGCTTCATATATGTGTCGTTTTCACTATGCATGTTATAGTAAATTGCAGTTAATATGAAAGATAAGCATTCGCAGTAATTAGAATATATATATTTTTTTATTATGGCCGCTATTTAAATCTCACCTAGGCCACTAACAGAGCCTGGGTCGACCCTGATTTTAAGATGCATAATGGAAACATTCAAACGTACCCATTAATATTAATAAATGTAAATCATGAACGTTGGTGTCTTTTATCATATTACTGTTGCTGTGTATTGCATTGTATCCAGAACACCCCTACAAATTCACTACCTTGAGTGTATTATTATTGCTTTAATAAAGCGGGTTTCATGCAGACTGAAGATGAGAGGATAGGAAACTCCTGAGGTCTTTCACAGCTCAGCAGATTCTCTCTCACTTAGTCTTTGAGGTGCAGAGGAGACTTACAGAACGGCCCTAATAACACGCAAATGACTGCTAATTAGACAGAAAACCACCCTTGTGCCAAGCTGCTGGTTCATGTTGCTAAGGCAACATCTTAAGACATTAAATAGCATGATAATGTGAAAATGTACTTTTTTCCAGGCTTCCTGCATGTAGTCTTAAAGAAATGGTTTATCGTTTATTTACCCTCATTTCGTTTCAGATACTCATTGGGGTTGTATTTCTTTTGTAAGGTATCTGGGGTAAATCATTGACTCTGTCCTGAATGCAAATAAAGCACATTCTTCCTAAAACCCAAAGTTTTTAGGATTAATGAAAATTACTGGACTTTGGTGCCAACAAGTCTGCTTCTAACACGTTTACGACTCTGGGACACTCACCAGAGACTAACCCTGCATTCTCCCACTCACTAGTCCAAGCTTCAAAGGAATTCCAGAGAACCCCCCCCCCCCCCCCCCCCCCCCCTATTGGGTGCTCAATGCACGCAGATACAAACACACACACATATATGAACTTTTACTACTCCCCTCATTTAAAGACATTTACTGAGGTATATTTGATATGTTGTTATGTTTGTCGATTGCCCAGGTCCTATGAAGGGATCTATGAGTGTGTGTTAGTTTAAAACAAACTGCAAGGGCAGTTAATTATGCTTTTAATGTAACTTTGCAATATAACTCTCCTAAAATGTATTTCTTCCTATGTTCAGAATGCTTGGGACCTGACAAGGTCATTTATGTAATTGAACAAGCCATAAAATGTATTTTACTATGTTTTACCATCTTTGGAATGATTCTGAACAAATTCTGACTGATCGTAAAACCTGTGAATGCGGCCATAATTTAGCTTTGACAAGACAAAGAGAATTTTGCCGCCAAGAGTTTTGTTGAATGTCATTGGCTAGTTCGCACCTCAGAGGTGTGGACTCCAGTTCCTTTAAAAGAGAACTGGACTCGCTCGCTTCTCTCTCTGTCTTCCCTCTCTGGCTGGTACCCTGGACTGCTCTTCCTCCATCATGTGACTCCTTGGTCCATCGGGACCTCGTGTTCATGCGATGACCCATCTTTCCTTTGTTTGTCTAGTTCAGTTTTATTTTCCTTTTTGTATTCTCCTTTGTTCATTCTCACCGGCGAGTGAAATGAACTTAGTTTGAATCATTTCTTTGGCAACACCTTCAACGGACGATTTGAACATCCCGCCACACGGGCGCGCCGGAAAGGACCTCTGACCGGGTTCGGAACACACACACACGTACACGAGAGATCAGCAAGTATTCGTTTTCCTACCGAGATCTAAATACTGCTAAGATTGCCTGCCCTAATTAGGGTACGATTTGACTAGTTGTCTCTCTTAACGGTTCTGTGTCTGATGAATTTTGCCAAACTCACCAGCTCTCTCTCTCTCTCTTTCTATATGCATTCTCCTTCCTCGATGTTTTATTGTGTTTGTAAATACATTTATTCCTTGTAACGTTTATTAACCGTATACGTAATCACCTTTATTAAATACATATATTCATTGATTGATTCTGCCTGTGCTCATACTTCAAATCACTTAAATGTTTCGATCAGCTATAAGCTTTGAAATGGTATAATACTTTAAATAGTATTGTGACGAAACAGGAGAGCTATCTTTTACGGCCGTAAAGATCGTCTCTTCCTGCGAGTCTCTTAAAGGTAATTTCTCTGTGGAAATTGATGAAGATCCATGACCAGTTTGCTGGACAAACAGATTATTCGATAATAATTAATTCCATTGAGGAGTATCCTAAGAATCTATATATTCCAGACGATTTGTATATGAATATTGAATTATAATTCGTTATGATTTAATTATTGATAAATACAATTGATCTATCTTGCCGATCTGTATGAATAATTGATTATACATCCATTATATTCGGTCGTTCATAACAGATTGCGTAACCCCTTTGCCGGGTGATTTTTAACATGTATTGTTATCTGGGTCAAACCCGTATCAATAGTTATTAATTTGTAATTACTAAATATTGAATACATATTCCCCAATGGCCCAAATACTTTACAGAGTTTTGGTGGAGAATGCGGGCACATTTTAAATTTGTTTATGAGCAATTCAGTTTCAATCTATGTGTAGGCCTATATTGTTATTTAGTATTGTATGCGCGTTTCGAATCGTGAGCCAAAGCGCGCAGCGCGAACTCACTGACTAAACTGAGTAAAGGCACAAAGCCGAATTCAGGTAAGCACATTAACAGCTGCTAAATATGTCTTAACATTTTAGTCACTGTTAATTGCTAAATTAAACTGCAGTTATACTAATAATATTAAAATTGCCTCTGTAAAGACGCGCTACATTTTAATATTAAAAACTCCCCTGCCCGAACGAGATTATTCTAACAGGGTGAAGACAAGATTTAGTGAAACGATGCTCTTTCACTATTCTTAAAAAGGCCTTATAATCGTTAGATTAACGATAAAACTCCTGGTTAAACATTGACGTAGCTACTCAATTGTAAAAACCTAAAGCATATTTAATCATAGGTGCTATTTGATATATGTTATGGGAGTCGAAAAACAGATGAATAATTCCTGTTTTCTCTCGCACAACGCAGTGACGAATCCTGCTAGATGTGCTTGTAAAACATAGCACCGAAAAAATCCAACACTGAAAACATTTTTCATAAATGCTATTTGATAAATGTTATTTGGATCCGAAAAACAGATGCCTAATTCCTGTTGTCCACAATTTACGTGTAGTGCAGCGAAGAAATCCTGCCACACACTTTTGTGAAATATAGCACCAAAAATCCGCCGAGATTTAAATTTTATGTTTGTGATCTATGCAGTAACGGGGCGTGCCCTTAGATTTGAATCACATTTGAAGCAGGCTGGTTGTTATTCCGCTGACAAACACAAGAGGGCAACCTTTAAGAGTGTGACAGTCTCAAAGTACTACCACGCCCTTACTTCACCCCGCATGAACGAAAATTGCGCCATCGTGTGGGCATTCGCAAACAGGTCACTCTGTTCTAAAAATTCTCTCGTTCTTT